TCCCACTGCTGAAATTTCGTGAAGTCCACATATTGTCTGAGTGACAGTAACACATGAGATGTCTATATCTTCTATTGGTTCAGCTAGTCTTGCTTAAATTGTTATAAGAGATCCATTTGGTTCAGTTGTATATACCTCTTGGAAATAGTCTGCAGAAATGTTTCAGAAATTCGTTGAGGTTCTGCTAAGAGGTAATTTTCCTCTCACCTCAACGCATGAAGGTACGCCTGTTTTTTCAGTTGTTTGGTTCAGAATGTTGGAGTAAAAACTTTTAGTTCCCTCTTGGACGACACCTTGATATTTCTTTTTTTGTTGTCATGTTTTTTCAGCAAGATCATTATTAATTACCCAATATGCTGTATAATCCTTGTCCCTATCAGTTCTTTTATATTTACTCCATGTGCATAATTTCTTCCTAGTTTAAGGATTTCTCTGCTGATCCATGATTTATTTAACCCTTTTCTTCTTTTAATTTTTGAAGAGAGTGCACTGAGCAGTTGATATCTTACAAAATTCATCATAGTCTTCGAATACTTTTCCAGCTAGTAGATTTGTTTCAAGAGTTGTAAAATTATCTCACAGTCAACTTTGTAATAATTACATTTTAAGATCAGCATCTGTGTAACATCAGTTGTAAAGTTTTCCTTTATACAACGATTAATTTGTAGATGCATCGTTATAACCATAAGATAGTAGATAACTTAAGCCAATTTGTGGTCTTTGGTAAGGTGGTATAATCTCTTCATTTGTTGTCATCACCAAGTCATGTAATGGTTGCAGGGGCTTGTTGTGCTCTAAATCTTATGGGCTCCTTCAGGAGTTGAATGAGATTTGAGTTGGTGTAATAATTGAGGAATTCCCATTCAATTTCTGTTTTGCAACTGGCTCCATGATATATCCACACAAAGCCTGGAAAGTTGAAAACTCCAAATATTACCACATGTTCATTTTGAGGACATGGCTAGACTATCACCTGAAAGAGTTTGCGGTCAGATTCTTTAATGCTCTCACAGGTCTATTGATACCACCTATAACCAACTGTATTTTACCCACTGTAATTTTCAGTCATAATGCTTCAACTTACGGACACTAAAATTCTCTCACTGTCAAAATATTATACCTATCTCTCATGGATTTTGTACTTAATGTATATTGCCACTCCCCCTCCTCGTTTATTCAGTCTTATCATTTCGATAGATGCTATATCCTGGGATATCTATCATAAAGTCTGGTATGTTTGACTTCTACCAAGTCTCTGTGAGAATAATAATATCTGGTTCTACTTGATTAATTTCCAGCAAGAATAAATCAAATTAAGTTATAATGGAAGATATGTTTGTGTTTAAGATTTTTGGATTGAATAGTTTTCTCGTCAGTGTAGCTTCTTTTCGTATTTCTTATCTTCTTTACAATATGTGGACGTCCCTTTTATATATTTTATTATTAAATCTGGATCATCTGCGTCTTTCCTTTCAATGCATTCTTCTGCTCTTTCATCTCTTCCCTCTGCATTGGTGTATTGTCATTTTTGATATTAATTTCAGGAGGTGCTATTCATCTATTAACCAGAATCCTTTTCGCCGCATGAGGATTTTTCATTATACTTTTGATTGGACGGGGATTGTTATCTTTTGCTTTCTCTAACTTTCCAAGCCTGATGACTTTTGCTATCAGATGCATATCTTCGCTTTTCATGGATTAAACCTACTCGCTCACTACGGCTCTAATGATAGGAAGCCTTGTAGTTTCTACAAACACTATCTTCTCTGCCACTGACTTCTTAAAATATCCACATATATATTTATTTTCTTCTTTTTCTTGCATCCTATCTTCTGCAGTTTTCATACGTTATTTCTTTATACCTTCCGTTCTTGACATTGATAGATCCTGATCTCTTCTCAATTTTCTCCGTTCATTTCTCAATTTTGAGGTTAGGATTTGGTAAGAATCCAAAAAGGTTCACTACGGGGCTCCAATTACACATCGTCGCCTACACACAGCAGTGTGCAAACTTGGCACCCTAAGAACACACAAGTCACCGACTCGATAGAAACTGGTTATGCGTGAAATTAAGTATTTTGGCACACTTTTAACGCACTCCGTAACGATTTCCAAAATGGATTGTCCCATGCTCAGGCTCCACGCGCCATTCAGCATTCAAAGTATGTTAATTTCTGTTGTGTGACTACAATGTCTGAAATATTTTCACAGGAATCACTGAGTACAAATGAAAGCTGAATGCTCTACCAATGCATTACCCCTTTTTTTTTACCTTTTGTATGCGATACTACTACCACCTGTATATTTTCATATTGTTATCCTGTGGCTTTTGTCACTTCAGTGCATAATTAAAAACGTACAGAGAATTCTATACTTCGATGTTTGAGCTATTAAAGAATGGGAGAAAATACGTTTTTATTTTAGAATGAGAAAGTATGAAATTGTGAAGAAGGATGATGTAAAATAAATTATCGTGAGGCTTCCTGTCTTAGCTTTGTCACACGAGCGTTGCGTTGACGCGCGTCACCTAACGCCAATGACGTCAGCTGCGTCGATGGCTATGCACATCACACAATGCGCGTCGTACATTAACACTAATCTTATGCAAAACGGCACATGAGCGCTCTTGCCGACGTGCGTTGTGCACAGAGCTCCAGCACGACGTTCAAGCTACAAAGCAAGTCAAAATAAAGTGCGTTTTCTAGCATTCAACGCGCGACGCCCACTATACGGCGAACCTTGGCAACAACGCACGTCGCCAAAAGCGCTCGTGTGCCTTTTCGCATAAGATTCAATTTAATCTCCCATGCGTGATGACTCGCGTGTACGGGCATAATCAGCTTTAGGTGACGCGCGTCAACGCAACGCTCATGTGGCACAGACCATTATATTCTTCTACGTATGCCACATTGGACATTTTTTTCTACCTTTTTAAATACCTCTAATATCTTGAAAATAAAATTTTGTACAGACCTACCTATTCAATAACGATTTTTAGTATATTTAAATCGTGTAGTCTTCATGTAACTTTTCATATCTCTTTATAATATCGCACCATTTCAGTAGTCTTTTTGTTATGGCCATTTTTAGCACGCGAGATGGTGGATAAAAGCAGCTACAGTGCCCGGTTAACGCATCGCGGAATGCTTTCCTGGTGGGATTGTGGCAAGTAGTGTTACAAGTTGCGAGAAAATCGAAATCATTACTATTGTAAATGCTGGTTATTTATAACATTATGGATATACAAAAACAGATGGAACCGATAAGAATTGTAAATTGCGGGAACGTAAGAGCGAGGTTTTACTGTAGTCAATAATTTTTTTTTTAAATCTAAAAATGAGGTAATTAGAGGTTGAATAGCCAATTTCTAATGCTATTGCTGAAATAGGCATTTTAAACACAAAAATGTGGTTTGTGTAATATTATGTGATTGAATGTGTTTATCATTAATTTTGAATGACATTGACAAAAGGCATATACATTTATCAAAATCAAGGTCTTCCAATGATGAGTGGTGAAAAAGGTGTAAAAGAGTAAGCGTTTGATGTTATTAGAGCTTGAACTGAATGAATTTAATAAACAATTCCAATTGCAACCATTCTTCAGAAAACAGAAATATTCGCGAAGAAGGCAAAAAAAACTTACTTCTTTTGGAAGGCTTGTTCAAGAAAACTGGACCTACAATCAATAAACTGTTTTTAAAAATACCTACCATATTATAAACAATTTGTTCATTATAGTTAAATAAGTAAAATTATATCTTAAAGGAAAGAATTTGTAGTTTTATGTTTGGATTTTGTTTTGTAGACAAATATTTCTTACATCATGACACAGGCCGATGTACCTAGGTACCTTGAGTTTTAAAGCAACCACAATGAGAAAAGTGTCTTGTCTTGCCATGCAGCTCGAAGGTCCCCAAAGAGTTAATGTTGTTTTACAAAAAGTGTTAACAAACAATGGTTCAAACCCAAGAGTATGGTAAATAATGTTAAGGTTTGTTATGAAAATATAAGGATAAAAAATGTTTTTATGTAATTTCAGGCTTTGCTTGCAGGGTTATCACCTTGTGAAGTAGCCACACATGCTTAAAACATGTTATCAATTGTATATTTATACAACCTCTCAACAAATAAATAAATAATGAAGTTGTTCTGTGAGAGCTTCTTGGCTCACCAACCAATTTTTGGTTGAAACATTATACTGTTGCCAGGTTTCATGGAGTAGAAAGCTGCTAATTTCTACACTTACTACTAGTACTTACGAATTGCATGTGCGGGACACCTTGCAATGATGGGCAAGGCACTACTTCCTGCCCCTGCTCCTGGTGCTTGTGTATAGACAAAACAAAACCATCGGTGCCAGGACTTGTGCTGAATCCTTCACTCCTCAAAGATGGAAGGTTAAAACACTCCATACTCACAATGTACGCTTCAGTGCAAGAGAAACTTTTAAGACCTTAACCTTGCTTTAAACATTCCCGTGTAACCTCAGATGTTACTGTGTGATACTAATACCGTCTTGTCTAATGTGTTTGGAACAGTACAAAAGAACCAGATACCATGAGCTTTAGCAGGAGGGGAAGGGATACCGCATCCTAGTGGTGGGAGGCATTGAGTTCCTCAGACTTAGGGATCTCAAATTCCTAGTGCATGAAATAGCAGCTAGTCTAAGTAGACTGAGAGGAAACGGAGAGTGCAGTTTTTACCATTGTGATCCTTTGGCTTTTTAGGCCTACCAAAATTAATCACTTTCTATTAAAGAAGGCTTTAATTAAAATACTAATCATAGTGGTATCTTAAAGTTAAGGAGCTACTTTTAGTTAGTTTATTGTTCTTACAACTACGTTGGAAATGAGAGAAAATTTGGTTTAGTTTAATCTATTGTCTTTTTTTTTAAATTTTATTTGTCTATTCTTTCTTGCAGATTAACTTACGTTATGGATTGAAGACTGCCAAATTAGAATCTTCTCGAGAAACGTGCACTGCTTGTGCTGGAACTATGATATTAGAAATGGCTGCGCTGTCAAGACTTACTGGAGAACCCATATTTGAGGTAATCGCAAAACTGTTTTGCTTTCAGAAGGAATAGATATTTAAAAGTCAAAGAAGAATTATAGTTATTGTTCTTAAATTCTTTTGAAATAAATTAATAAATTGTTTTGGGGTACCCAGTTTTATTAGATGCCCAGGAAATAGGAGAAAATCCAAAAAACAATTAAGTTTCAATTTTTCAAAATTAAAAAAATGTAAGTATTGAATTTTAATAAAATGCTCAAATTTGACTTTTATTACTTTCAGTTTTCTGTATAGTGTAATTTCTTTTCTATTGTAACATTTCTACAGCTCTTCTTTTGTGCAATATATTCTCGTTTATTCTCACAGTAAAGCTCCTCTTTTACATTTTTCAAGGGTGCAAGAAAGAGTGGTTTACATAATGGGAAGGGTATATTGGTAGAAATTTATTGATTGATAATGTAATAGCCAGTAATGTAAGTATTAATAAGAGATATTTAAAAATTGTTTATTTTTTGAAAAAACAAAAGAATATGTTTATCAAAGAGGTGTTTGTCATGTTATTCAGTGTATTTAGCATTAACTATACAAAAAAGTTTGAAGAAAGTCTTTGGAGCCAGTTTTGAAAAAAATTTGAAAAGTCCTGGGAGCTTCATGTAAAATACCCCCAAATTATAAAGGTGATTTTTCAAAATACCGGAATTTGTTTCGTTAGGTCAACTAGAGAATATTTATTTTGGGTAAAAAGGTTATAATAGTTTAGGCATCTATATATCTCTGACTCATTCTTTGCATTATAGACAGTTGTACTACAAAAAGGAATTAAAAGCAAGTTATTAACACATATTCAGTGTATTTGACTTCATCCATGTATTAAAATGATGACGAAGTTAACAACAAATCAATAACACTAGTATAGAATGTCAAGTTTGGGCAGAGTTGTTCTCTTTTCATCCTTTTTCACTGTGTGTTTTGAGCTGTCAAGGCTCTTAATGAGGTGTGTTGTATAACGAGAATTTAAAATAATCAAGACATTAAAAATCAAAACACAGTGATTATTAAATAGCACATTGCAATGTACAATGTATCTACACATTAACTGCATAGCAAGGTAACAACTTGATGAAAAGGAGGTTAGGAGGCTAATGCAACAGGAGACAGTATACAGAATGAAAGACGCACCTTCATCTACATTAGGACACTAATCAAACAGGGGAACCAAAAAGGCATTGATTGCACTAATAATCAGTTAATCAGCTTCTACAATAGGCATACTCAGCACCACATTGTTTGTGAAACTAAAAAAGGTTTTGGAAAAAAGATCTTCAAATTTCGAATTGACAGTAGCGCTCAAACACAGTTTTCTTAAAAATGGCTCCACAATTTTTTTAAGTAAATTGCTATTTAAGACTTTGTATCACAGTTTTGTAGTATTCTTAAAATAATATTTCTGTTTTACTATTGGGAAACCGAAAAATTAAGAAAATTTCAAAAAAATTGGGGTTGCAATAGACGGCAGCTGACAAGAGAAAGTGGCAAGTCTGAATAGCTAGCCAAGATGAAAGTAAATAGAAAACTAATACAGGAAAGTCTGTGCCATTCTGTAGCACCACAAGCTTACATTTTTAGATTAGCAGTTCTTAAAACTAGTCACAGTGATATTGCTAAATTATTAATTAATCCTTCACCTCATTAAAAAGTTCTAATAATGTTTTCTGATATTTGATAAAAAAAATTCTGATTATATCTTTATATTGTTATAACTATATTTTAATTTTCGTCATATTAATTTTTTTACATGTACATTTTTGTCATTATGCATCTATCCATTTTTGCCAATATGAATGTCTTTTTTGTAAAGGGTTCATCTGTTCGTTTATATTTAATTTGTATTAGAATATTATTTGAACAAGAAGTTAATGTGAAACTGAAAGTAATTTATTCAGTTTCCATTGAAATTAAAGGTTTATGTGAATTTCCATCTGATGGTGTGTTTTTCAATTTTAGAGAAAATTATCACAAATATCCAATGATTATGCACTGAAAGAATAAATGTTATACGAATGCTCATTGAAGATTATTTTGGTAACAAATTTTACTATTGAACTATATGAAAATAACTCCTGATACAGCATTTAAATATCTACTCTAGCCATTGTGACTTAGCTCCCTGGGCACAAATATTCCATAGTGAGAAAAGGAAACAGAGTTAGTCAACTGTTGAATAGTGCAATGTTCTCCTGGAAGACCTTTATGACAATATCTTAATCCCCTTATCTTTACGAGAAATGCTATTTAACATAAATTATTTTATCCAAAGATCTCTAAATTTCTGATTTAAATCTTACAAATATTTCAAATTATAATTATTAAAATTTTATTAAATTAAAATAGGATTAAAATTATTAGCATATAAAATGCTATTGAAAATCCCCTTTTTTAAATTATTGTAACTGACTGATCATTAAAAATAAATATGTTATATTGTAGGAAAAAGCCCATAGAGCTATGGATGAACTGTGGAAGCTAAGACATCGAAGTTCTGATTTGATGGGAACTGTACTTAATATCCATTCTGGAGACTGGGTGCGACGTGATTCCGGAGTTGGTGCTGGAATTGATTCTTATTATGAATATTGCTTGAAGGCTTACATTTTACTTGGAGATGAACGTTACCTTGGACGTTTTAACACAGTAAGAAATTTACTTTTTTAAATTTTTAATTTGTTCACTGGTAAGCATGAGTTACTATTCTTCTTCTTCTTCTCTCTCTTTTTTTTTTTTTTTTTTTTAAAGTTAAATAGCGTTATCTTTCTCATTTTATCAATATTTCACTTTTTTCCACACAACATTTTGCTGTGTATGAAAGTAAAAGATTCTTGGTCTAGTGCTTGTTAATGGTCATGTTGTTGATCCCAAGAAAGCTTTTTAAAAACTGTTGATTTACAAAGTAATTCACTTTAATTGGAAAAATGTTGTGATTTAGAATATATAATGTCATATCTTACTTTCTAGCATTACTCAGCTGTGATGAAATATATTAGCCAAGGTCCAATGCTTCTGGATGTTCACATGCATCGTCCTCATACAAATTCAAGGAATTTCATGGATGCTCTTCTGGCTTTTTGGCCTGGATTACAGGTATCTGTTGACGTAACATAACTGAATGAAAATTTTGATGGAAGTAGTGGTTAGATATATTTTAACTCTTTGTACTTATAGGCTTTGGGATAAAACACTCTATACGGGATATTCTTTGTCGAAATGGCCAACAAAATAATGAAGGTTCAAAAATCATGCTAATAATTATATTTTTGGATTCAGCGCAATATAAAAACAACAATTAAAAAAAATAAATTATTAAAAAATTCCACGCTAAGACTCTATACTTTAAGTTTCGCCTAACATTTTTTAACACTATGTACTGCTGTCAAGCAACAGAAAAATTGCCCAACAAAAATTTTTTAAGGTCACTGCAAGATCATGGAGGGTATAAATTGGTAAAAAGCTTTAAAAATTGATTGTGAAAATATGTCATTGTATGTTTTTTTTTATTTTCAGAAATCAAAACAAATTTCTTCTAGATTCTTGTACTTTATACCCACAAAATTTGATCCTTGGTTATTGAAAGAATTCATAACTATGAGCAATTTTATTGCAAAATTTGTGATCAAAAGTTGTTTTTATTTGAGTTTTTTTTTTTTCATGGGAAAATTATAGGTCTAATACAATGTTTAGCTAATTATTGAACATTCAGCTTCTACCTGAATTTTACTTGTAGGAAGAATCTCTACCTTCAAATTTGTAATAGAATGAATAGGCCAGAAAATTTTCAATTTTTGAAATTTCTGGAAATTTGCAACAGTGATATTTTAATGGTGTAGTCCTCAGTGTACACAGCATCGGCTCTTCCTGAGTTCCAACGGCCCCTGGCACAGTCGTCAGCATAGTATATCCTCCCTGGCATTGTGCTTCGTGAATGCAGCTCCAACACCTTCCGTGTTCCAACAGTCACTGGTACAGCCCTCATCCGCTGTTCCAAATTCAAACATTTATAATTAAAACTAATTTTATTCTTGACATAATTGCCTTATCACATGCCAATTTTTCATGTAATTAAAGAACAAAAAGAAAATAAACCCAGAATGTTTATGATAAAAAAGCACAAGTCTAACCTGACTGCCTGCCTATTTTGCTTTATGGGGGCAAGATGGAGTTATTTATGTATTCATACCGACATTTCCTGTCAAAATACACAATAACGTAATACAAATATACATCAGAATAAAAAGATAAATAAAATAAAGTTGACAAGTGATCCAAGCTTGTAAAATTTGGGCAAAGATTAATATTAGAAATGTATTAATATAATACAATATTACAAATTTTAGACATGCATAACTATTTTTTATAGTATACATACAATGCATGAACATTTAATAATTGAAAATAGAATGTGTGGATCATATCTCAAGCACTTTATAAAACCAAGTAAATCAGTGTTTGTCATTGTATTCCATTCATATGATGTATAGACATTTTTGTTAAAGTACAGAGAAAATTCTTTCAACATCAGTTTGACTGTACAATTAATGCAAGTATTGAGTTTAATAAGTCATGATCATAACTCTGTACTTAAAGTATTCATATATATCTGAGAATTTCAGTCTTTTACAAGTTTATAATAAACTTTATACCGTTTAATTCCCCCATTGATTTCAATGGTGGAATCTTTAAAATAGTTTATATTTCATTACAATTATCATATGTAAATGGATTAGGTAGACTATACTAGGGAGAGATCATTCTTAAAGAAAATCTGGACCGTTTCTAAACATTTTATATGTATGTTAAAAACATGACTCAGAGTTGGTGAAACAAAACAGCAGTAATAGTCTCACCAGATGAAAAATACAATGATCTCAATGCATTGGCTGAATTTAGCTCTTTAGAAATCCTTATAACAAAACCTAAGATTTGGATTGATTTATTAGCTATTTTATCAACATGTGCGTTAAATGCCATTTTGCAGTCAAAAATAACTCCTAGATCTTTTATAGAATTGACATTGGGCAGATGTCTTAAATAATTATGTTCAGTTTTGTGAACCTATGGTTTTCTAATGGATATTGGGAGGGATTGGTGTAGCAAATAAAATATGTAGATGCATTAATTTCTAACTTCAGTTTAATTTGAAGCACAGGAATAAAATGAATTTATCCGTATTGAACATGGCTTGCATGCCATCTGATTGCTTTGTTGATGTTCTTTTGTGGTGAAGGTAATGTTGTGGTCCTCATCCCATCACTATAAGAGTTTTTTGGCTGACCGTGGCTGTGCAATGCCTGGTAGGAAAAACACTAAGAAGTTGTAAGAACTTCAGGGCTTGATGAGCTCATATAGGAATGGGTTGGTGATGTTTACAGAGATGGGTGCTCTTGTCACATGACAAAATAATAGTTGCAGATTTGCTGAAATGAGAGAAAATGAAAACTTATGAGTAACGCACTGCACGTGGCCTGGGGATGCCGGAGGCTGTGTCCACCCGAAGTCTAGAAATGTATTTATGCTTTTGTAGCATTAACCGGCGGACCGAGACCTCCCACTTTACGTAAATTGTCCAATAGAATTTGAATTGTCATCATCTGCTGAAAAGTTTCAGGTGTCATCTAAACAAGTTTTACCGGGTCAGGAATTCCTAAATTTATCTGTGATGGGCTGCCGAGTATATCTAAGGGACAAACCCTCTCTGATATTCTTAGCTCCACCCGAAAATAGGATGTGGGCGTATGCAGTGATTGTCATTGATCGCTTCTTTAAAAATTGACTCCCCCTTGCTTCTGTCCTTTCACCGTTTGTTATTTATCTGCTGGAGGCAGTTGGCTGGCATTGCCAATGATAATTTTGCCAACATGGAGAAACCACTCATAATTACAATTTATTTCCAGCACGATAAAAATACAAAAAGATTCAGAAGTTTCATCCAAAAAGTAATTTAAAATTGTGACTAGAAAAAATACAATGTATGTAAACCTTGTGACTTTTTCCTCATGGCCAGACTGGATGGATTAAATCAGATTGTAGCATCTTGATACCATCTAATCATTCTCTATTGTCATCTGACCTGTATGGCATGCTATGGGTTGTTCGCTCCTGATCTCAGAAGACATTTTTGAATGGCATCCCAATCATACTTCCTGGGTTATAGAGTTTAGAAAAGATACTTTATTTTTAATTATTTATATTGGAATGTAATTTATCATTGATATAAACTTTCAAGTAACTTTAAATTCTGATTAAGGATCATATTTAATTTTGGAGTCAAAACAACAGGATTGGCTAAGGCAGTAAAACTTTGCTTTATGCTGCAGGTTTTGAAAGGAGATATAAAACCAGCTGTGGAAACTCATGAAATGTTGTACCAAGTAATGCAACGACACAACCTTATTCCAGAAGCATTTACTACTGATTTTCAGGTGAGAAATCTATTTCAGTGTTGACCAACTGTAAAGATCAGGATGAAAACTTTTTCTTCTGCAGGTGCACTGGGGACAACATCCTTTACGGCCTGAGTTCTTAGAATCTACATATTTTTTGTACAGAGCTACTAATGATCCATATTATTTGGAAGTAGGCAAAAATGTTCTTCGAAGTCTCCAAAAATTTGCAAGAGTTCCTTGTGGATATGCTGCAGTGAAGGATGTTCGAACAGGCATTCATGAAGATCGGTGAGTGAATGTATTCTGTTTTAATGTGACTTAAGAACAGAAATTACCTGTCTGCATACCTTCAACTGAACTTTTTAGAATCCTTTCTTTCTGTAGAATGCAAAAGTAATAAATGCCCACTACAGAAAATACCTGAAGTGAAAAGAATCCCACAAGCAATGTGGTCGGTACCGGATCTCACATTCTCTACGGGATGGTACAGCGCCATCTCCTGAGATATTACGTATTACACTCACAGGGCGAATGATCTAAGTATTTGAAGCACTTGGAAAGAATAATTACTTACTTTGCCATTACAATTAAACTCTATTGATTGAAACTGCGCTACACAAATCTCATTACAATCCAAGGGAATATTCCCTTTGAGCTTGAGCGAATAGGACATGAATAGGTTCCAAAATTTGCATCCCTGACATAGGGGTATTTATTTCTGAGGTTGTATAGTCTAATTGTGGGTTTTATAAGGCTTCTTTATAATAATATTAACATTAATATCAATATCTTCACTGCATTGGGTATGCCAATCTATTAAGAATTTATCCAGGGAATTTATTTGCATGAAAATTATGAAGACCATATTCTTTTATTTTTTTAATTAGTGTGCTATTTTATTTGATGCCGGAATTTTCACTATCACGAAAAAATTTATAGGTGTGAGTACGACAGATCGTCTATAGGAACTTTCGAATGCGAAATATTTATGTACACATGATTACTTATTCTAACATGGAGTCGGGAATTCTCTAGGGCGTCCTCTGACATAAATACTTACAATATGCTGATCAAATACATTATGCAGTGCTGTATATAAATACATAATCTTCCCCTGTTTACATTATATTCACAATAACAGCAATTGAATAATATACACTTTTTTCAGAATTAATGTAATTAAAAACAACCGTGTTCATATTCTATTAAATAAATCTTCCCTTGTTTTTGTAGGCTTTGGCCAAATTATTTCCCTAATTAGAAATTTATGTATCTTAAAAATGAAAAACACAACTTGATCTTTCTACATTATTTTCTGCTCACAAAATGTCCCCTCATTGTTATTTTCCTTCGAGAAGCAGATGCCGCATCGAGAAGCAGATCCGCGAGTGTTCCATCTGCATGTCCTTCCATGACCAAGTCTGCCTGAGCTCTTTTTCATTTGGAGTTGCATGCTTTCGTCTTTTCCAAACATGTTTCTTCCAGCCTCTGTATGCACATTGCAGTCTTTTGTTTTTTCCAAACATGATTCTTCTGCCTCTGTATGCACATCATGATCGCTCTCTCGAATGTCATCTCTGCTCTCATTGGTTACATTAGCATTTACATCGTAACTTTATTCTTTGAACTAAGCTATTATCAATTTTCTTACATTTAACACTGTTTACATGGAAATTGCTCAAGTGTCCTTGTTTTACACTACCTATTCCCCTCCCTCTATTTCCCCTACTGATTCTTCAATATTCCGTCTTGTTTACATTAATTGTACACCACATATTTGTTTATGGGTCTTTTACCCCATTGTTGTCATTGCCGTATTTAATATTTTTGAAAATATTAATGTAATCTCACAATCCTTGTAAATTATTACAATAGGGAGCACCATTAGACAATGGCATGTAAGAAATATTTCTCAGGCTAGGATCTAGTATGTAGGGGCTCAATGAAACAAGAGTGTGCATGTGGCTGCAGTCACTTCTGCTTCACAGATATTCATGAATTCCTTGATGCTAAGTATGTAATTTCTGAGTATCAGGGGGCAAGTTTGACAATTTACAAGTTCACAAGGTCAGGAAGCTCAGTATTACTTAGAATTCTGGAAAGGTGGACAATTCCAGAAACGTTTATTTGCAAACTCGAATCTGCAATATTCTGCTTTGATAGATGAATATAGTAATAAGTTTTGAATTATGTAGCAATTGATAAAATATGTACAAATATGTAATTATACGAAAATATGTAAAATAAAATAGTTTTACTTCATTCAGATGTGTAGCAAACATTTTGGATACAGATGTCTTTAACCAGTGAAAATATCTGTTCACATGAAAACCCATTCCCTACTCATAATATTCAATTTTAGTTGTGTGTTTTTCTCATTTGTACATTTTTTCCCTTCAGTCCCCTGCAGTCCTGTGAAGCTGTACTGTATGTCTTTTGTAAATAGAAGTGTTTAATAGATATGGAGGCCCAGAAATGCAGATGGCCCTCTATTTTCAGGCTATGTATGCGCATGTTCATAACTAACTTTATTTCAGTCTCTTCACCATTCTGTTATTTTTTGTTGTTCTCAATAAGCAATTTACAGCTGTCTACAACTTTTGTATTTTGATGTAATTATCTTATTTGCAGGATGGACTCATTTGTACTTGCAGAAACATTTAAATATTTATACCTGCTTTTTGCGGATCCATCAGATTTGGTTTTAGATCTTGATGAATTTCTTTTCACTACAGAAGCTCACCTTTTACCTCTTTCTTTGGCTCGAAACTCCAATTACAGTGTTGTCACAGTAAGTAAATTCCCTTGTAAAGAAGTTTGTATTAAATGCTTTTAAATCACTACAGCCTCACTATTAATTTCAAGAACTATTTTAGATTTTTTTCTGTTGTTTTTTGTTTAGTAGATTATTAGTAGATTAATTAAAGTTACATCCAGTTGTTCAAGTGAAATTAATAGTCGGTACCGCCTATTTTTTTTTGTGTATTTTCAATGTTTGCTCAGTATTCGTTACCTTTCTGTTCCTTTAACACATTGACTGCCATGCTAATGCAGCATAAGGCCGCCGATGGCATAGCAGTGTCTTGCATGAGTCATTGCCGAGTCTCTGCCAGCCCTCACATGGCAGTTTAAAAATGCATATTTTATAAATGTAAACACATTAAGTTTGTGGTAACAGACTAAATATTATTAGTGTGTTTTACTGATGATCAAGAAATTTTACAAAAGTAGAATTTCTTTTTGATATATTCATTTTTTTCTTTCAGATATCAGAACAGTTGGAAATGAAATCAGAAGAGGAGCATGAATTCGCCCGTATTTGCCCAAACACACTCCATTTGTTTCCAGAGTCTGTTCGTCAACCATTACGCAACATGGTGGATGGTGTGTGTCCTCGTCGTGTTATGAGGCGGCGGCTTCATGCACCAGATTTTCAGGTATAGAATTGCATATGAAAAATGTCCAGATTGTGACTTTGTAGTTTGCAAATGACAAATAGCTACTTTATCTGAGGGGAAAATTTAACTTCAAAAGCATGAACACTTCTATGTTCTTCTATTCTTCAAATGTATCTCAAGATTACAATGCAAGGAGTTTTAAGTTTAAAAAGTAACCTTCAGAGAGAAAAGAATTAATTGAAAGATCCAAAATAATATTTTGAAGTTCTGTCCTCTTTATTCACTCATATTATTTACAGTAAATTCATTAATGTTTCATTTTCAGGCTGGAAATCCAGATCATATGAAACTGGTAAAGGATATGGGTATATCAATTCTTACTCTTGCTGATGGGCGCCTTCAGCTTCTACATACTGTTGCTAATGTAAGTGTGCAATGTATCTTTCTTTGTTTGTTTTTTTAGTGAGAGAGAGAGGGAGATTTTTGATAGTTCAGGCAACAGTATGAATTTCTTTGATTAAACTGCAGCAAATTTTAAAATTTGAAGCCCTATACAATGTGTCTTTGTGCTAACACCAATTTTGGCCCAGATACAGGAGCGCAGCAAGAGGCAATAGCACACAAGCCTGCCCTTTTTGAACTGGTGTTTTAATAAGTAGTGTTTGATTGTGCCCCATAATTATTGCTTTAATTTTCGCAATAACTGCCATAGCTTTCCTTGAAAGTTTGAAATTGAAGACTTATATTAAAGGCAAGTGTGTACTTGAGTTTGATATTAAATGCAAGTGTGTACTTGAGTTTAATCCTTTGACTGCTCTATATCTGTTGACACACGGGAAATTTCCATGACTTAGAGCCCCAGGAGGTTTTGGTGCTCTACGACGGGCACTAGGAGCCTCGGCATGTACAGATAGGTCATTCTTGTTCAATGCCTTTTGCGAGTGTGAAATGATTTCTTAGTTGATTTTGGCAGTATCTATGTGTGGTTCAGCACTCTAACTTGATATTTTAATGCCATTCTGGTTCGCTGGTGTTGCATTCTATTTGTTAGTAGATTTTTTTGCAGTAGAAAGAAGAAGATGCTAAATCCTTTCTTTATGGTTTTGCTGCAATACCATTTTTCTGATTCAGTGCCCTATATGATGAAGCAATTAAAGCAATTCTGTATACATCACTAGAGTGAACTTCAAGGAGGGTTGAAAAGTGTCTACATATATTTTCTGATGTATGAAAAAGTAGTGTGTGTTTAGGTGTGGGTGTGTTTGTTTGTGTGTGTATAAATTAATATAAAAAGTAATATATGCAACCAACCATGTATTACTTGATGAATGCTATGACTACATATAAAAAGCAATGGTTACAGAAGAAGTTTAAAATAACTAAGAACCTATCTTACCCTGAGAGATTTAAAGAATTGCATAACGCAATCGAAGCTAGATTATAAATTGTAGATAAAACAGCGAATATAGCATTGCAAGATCCAAAGACCGGCAAAGGTGAAAATAGCATTCCATATCCTCTATATCACAAGCCAAATAAGTTCCAAGGACTCTGTACCTCTGACCCTTCGAAGCGATGACGGTGGATCTGAGCGAGATTGCTGAGTTTTTTTGCCACAGATTTTTCAAAATCCTACTCACTGGAATCTTAACATCTTCATCCCACAAGTAACCACTGATCTATGTGCAGAACTAATTCAAGATGTTAAATTTGAAGTCTCAGATATCTACAAAATCCCTAATCGCTACTCTTGTGGGTTCGGACGGTATCCAACTGTTACTTCTGACGGAGAGTGCACCTAACATTCTCAGTACCTTCTTGCATCTACCATTCTCGGTACTTTCCATAAATACCTTGATTCAGTGATGCTACCATCAGATTGGAATGTTGCTGATATTATACCAATCTCCAAAGAGGGTACCAAGACAAATCCGAACAACTACAGACCAATCAGTCTGACGAGTGCCATCTGTAAAGTATTGGAATGGATTGGGGTGAATAAAATACTGCTGTCATCTTTTGGAGAATGGACTACAGCTCTAGATAATGGCATCCTAACAGACATTGTTTTTCTAGACTTTTCCAAGGCCTTTGAAAAGGTGCCCCATCGAAGACTTATTACATAACCATGTGTCTCCAATACCGAAATGCAATAGTTTATGTTGGATACAATCTTTTCTTGAAAACCAATATTTTCATTTTAAAACAGGTAATTATTGACCATCCTTGCAGAAAATCAGCAGTGGTTACCCTTTGTACTGTGACCGGTTCTACTTACCATGTTCACGAGCGAGCTCTCTGATGGCTTATCCTCCAATATGGGAATGTATGCAGACACCACAAATATCTATTTTAACCCATTAACAGATGTACTGCAAATTCAGCGTGATGTGGATGATCTGTTCAAATGATCAAAATAAGGATGATATTGCTAAACAAAGCTAAATATGTAGCCCTGCTTATAGGGAAATCCAAACCTAACATACAATACTTCCTGGGTGAAGAAAGCTTTGCCAATATACACATGATGAAGGACTAGGGAATCATGATTTCAAACTGTTTGAAATTGGGAAATCACGTATCCTACATTGCTAGAAATGCTAATAACACAATTCATCTCCTCTGCAAGGCCTTCAACACCATCAGATGTTTTCGCAACTTTATACATTTACAAATTACATTCTCCCTACGATGAATTACTAATATTATACTTATATTAATATATGAAATTATATGAAATACTTATATTACTAAAATGAATTACTTATTAAATATGAATTACTCAATGATTTACTTATCAAAGACCTTAATTTGTTAGAACAAGTTTAGAGGAGGGCAACACATATATCTGCATACCTTAAAAATTTAAACTATCGCAATGACTAACTGTTCTTCTGCTTCCAATGCTGATAGCAAGAAGAGACCAGGGTGATATGATAGACACCCACAAGATTCTGAACGGACCCTATAACTTAGATTTTGATATGTTCCATAAAATCCATAATTGCATCTGTGATGCTAAACTCACCACTACTGGGCATAGACAGCTGCAATACAAACTTTTATTGGGCTACAGGATTGTTGAAAACTGGAATAATCTACCATCAAACGTGGTGACAGTTCCAAGCATTGAAGCTTTCAAGAGGGCTTACAAAAGATTACCCAATTACTATCATACTATTGTCTAGTTAAACTCACATGGAATTGAAATAATATTGTAGCTTTTTGCTTTTTGTAACCTTTGTAACTTTTGAGACTTCAAATCCCATATTGCTCTTTGTAACTCATTAACCGTTGCTATTACTATAATACCTTTAGTGTATATCTTACAATATATCAATTATTAATCGTGTTAGCGAAGATTCGGGCTTCACCAGTTATAGAGTTGCCAGTAAATATTTTCAATTAAAAAAATGTTTTGCCCATAAAGAGGCACAGGGTGGGAGAAAAGAAAGAATGTTAAAAAGAAGGCTATAATTTAACAACTGTGCTTGATGAAAACCGATTACAGATATGAATTCAGGATAAATATTATTTCACTTAAAAGTATATTAAAACTAATAATATTATTGAGAAATTGAATATGATCTTCCTTCATGATCTGTCTTGAATAACAGATTGAATTTACTTATAAACGTCATTACTTTTCATTGTGCAGAGATAGAGAATATTAATTATTTGTTCAAAGCTTAAATAGACTTGCCTTGTCATTACAGTTAAATGTGTCTAAACTGGAACTTGTACAAGCTGTAAAATTGCTGTGACTGGAAAATATATCCAGCCCATGAAGTTGAATGGAACGTAACACAGGATAAAACAGAACCTCTCCAATGTGGATGTGTGGAATTGGAATGGTTTTTCATGGCCTGCAGGCGGGGGGGGGGGAATCATATAAAACTAAATGTTGAGAGATGTTCTTAATGAAATGAATGCATTTGCAGGTTTGTTTTAAAGTCTGTCATTGAGAGAGTAGTCAGCGTAGCATTCAACTGTGGGGTCGTTTGTCTCTCAAGGCGTAAACTGTAAGGGAATTCCCTCTCCTCTGACTCTCAGAATGTGGGAAGGTGTATGATCATGGCTTCTATTCATGTGTGTCCCTGCCCCATGTTGGAAAATCATAACGGCCTCCGAAAACCTCGACGAGGTGCATTGTTCAAGTCCATGCAATGCCATGTAAGGGAGAAAGACACATTATAGGGTTGTGATGCATTAAACTAAGAAGCTGTCAATGAAGAGTGTTTAATATTTATTTATTGATTATTTCTTCCATAAACACATTATATGTTAATGTAATTTACTATTTTCAGGGCAGAAAAGTCAATATCACAAATGTCATAAAATAGACAATCTTGCATAAAACAAAACCTTCCTAAACTGGAATATTTTTGTGTCCTGATCGATTCCGGCATAGACAGATTTTACGGTACATCTAATCTTCAATAATAACATCTCTTACTTATTTTTTGCACTGACATAGTAAAATTAAATTCCTCCCAAAAAATTTAAATATCAGTTTTCATTACAACTTAATGTTTTTTTCTCCAAAGAAAAGTAACTGCCCTGCATAATAATCACCATTTTTCTGTACATTATATCAATTTGTAAATATATTTCTCTTGAAATTTCTCAACACAATATAATTTGAAATTTCCGTCCATAGAATATCATGAAGTGATAAGTTCAGTAATATATTTTATACTCATTTATACATTTGAGAGTTAAAGGATTTAATTGAAAGCAGAACCAGAAAATAATATTTTCCCTTACCCGGAAACAACTCGAAAATCAGATAAGCCATATCTATGGCCATGTGAATATATAATGTAAATTTCCTCTACATGTACTACTTTTGTATGTGTAGGCAAAATCCACTGCTGATGCTGAGGAAGGGCTCCTTTTCATTCAAGAGATGATTGAACTCTCCAAGTCTCAAGCACATCAACCTGATGCTCCCCCTCAAGCGGTTCATTTCAAGACCACCAATGCTGCTGGTGCTGAACAAACAGTTGTGATAAATGCTGGCCCAGCACATTTTGGCCAGGAACTACGTGGGAACAATAAGGTAAATTAAATTCCTAGTTTCAAAGTAGCGTGTTATTTTATGTTTGCACTTTTTTAACATTCCTGTTTTTAAGTTTTATCCCACCTGTTCATTCACTTTGATTTATTATGGTGCAGCCTTCAGAGTTTGTTGGGGACTTCATTAAAACCACCCGTTTTAGTCACCTTATTTTAGAAAAGGGGCATATTTTTTTCTAGTTGCTTCAGTTGCTTGTTTGCGTGTTGGCTGTACTGATTATTCTGCTGAAGAGCATTGCTGGGCTCAGGAATTAACAATGGCTGTTACCCAAACCCCTTGCTTTGTGAGTGAAATATTTGGCTTGAATTTAATACTACTTTGTTATTATATGAATCATGTGCACAATGTTGCTTGGTTGCAGGTCACTGGTCGATTAACTGTGGCTGATCCATTACGGGCCTGCAGTGATTTAATAAACCCGGAAAGATTAAAAAAGCGTATTGTAATTATGGAGCGTGGAGATTGTATGTTTGTTGACAAGGTAGGAATTTGCCTCCAAAACTGAATATAAATTGGGAGAAATAGTTGTCGTTAACATGTGAACTTTTCGCAGGCAAGGCGTATTCAAAAAGCAGGTGCAATTGCTGGAATAGTGGTAGATAATACTCCAGGTACATCTTCAGCAACATCTCCGATGTTCGCTATGTCTGGTGATGGGAACAATGATGTAACTATTCCTGTAGTATTCCTTTTCTATCAAGATGCTTCTCAGCTCCTGCAAGCTGTAGGCCAAGACCCTGGTTTATATGTGACTTTGGCTGAAAAAATGACACCTCCCCAAGGCAAGTTGTTAATCAATATAAGAAAAAACATACCCATTGATAAGCTGATGTAAGTTTTTATTGCGTGATCTATTTATTGTGTAATAAATCACCAACAAAAGTTCAACAGGGGAAAAAAATATATATATAATAGCACTCTTCCAAAGCTTCCAATATCAGTAGATGGGGAGCAGTGGGATTCATTGCTCCTACATCAAATTAAACTATATCAAGTTCTGGTGGTACTACTAGAGATTTCAAAATATTAGTTAATTTAAAGCTGTTTATCATTACATAAGTCTCATTAATTTTCAAGACTGGTTGTTATAAATAGTTTAAGAATTTACACAATATTGATATTGGGGAGTACCAATCGATAACACAACCATTCTTATGGGAGAATCTTCCTTGTGAATCTTAATTAGTCCATGTGCTCGAGATATATTTCCAATCGTTGGATAAATTTGGTTATTTTGCTATAATTAATTAACTTAGTATTCCTCCATCCATTTATTTCCTTCCATGAGGACTTTATGAAAGATGGTAGCTTACTCTTATTAAACGACAGGTACTTCACCTTGAGAGTGTAATAAAATTATCAGTGGCTACAATTCCCCCACCTTTATGTGCACTAACAAAGAAATATTTGTGGGTTTTGTCTTATGAAATGTCTTGTTATATTTAAATGAAATAAGATTATTTTCTCCCTTTTGTGAGCCTCAACAGGCAGCATAAAAACCAATTCAGTCTACCAATTAACGACTACTGATTTTTTGTGACTCCACCGTACCCAAAAGCAAAGCTTCTGCTTCTTTAATAGTAATTAAGATAAATTTATTCACATCTTTTTTTTGCTAAAGAATAATTGGAAACATTACATAAGAACGAAGTATGAATCACAATGTCAGGAATGCTATCAGACATGAGATTCAAAAAATAACTTTATTCCAGCACATTTTATGATGAAAAAATAGATGATAATTCCTGTAGTTCTGTGACATTAATTTCACGAATTTATTGTACATCTTGTAATTGTCTTATTTAAACATAAATTTTTTACCAAGTAGGTAAATTTAAGGTTTCATTTGAAAGGAAAAACTTGAAGTTAAGCTCTAAACTTTGTGGTTCACTTGCACTCTGGAATAATATGCAATACTTATCAAGAATGCACATGTTCAATATCTGGAAGTCCAACTTTTTCTTCTTTCTATCATTAAACAGAGAAACTTTATTATTGTTAACGAAATTAAATTTGGACTCTCTATTAATTTATGATTCTCTTTCATTTTTGTGTTGTTCTTTTATTTTTTGTAATCATTGTTCTGGTAATTGATTTCCCCTTGTACATTATTTTTTGATCCCCATATAATGAGCTGCAATTCTGAAGTACTTATACTGTACGGTTTCGATTCTAGAAATAGCATTAGCAAAACACAGTGACCAAACAGTCAAGAATACATTAGAATTGTTCTTCTCAATATCTAATACAAAAGTCACAGTAACTTCATAGAGCAAGTACTGAGAATGCAAATTCCAAAACCTGATTGGTTTTATTGGCCATTAACTCCAAATGGTCTTCAAAAGACATTCTGGAGTCAAGGTTCACACAAAGATCTCCAATGGAAAACACTCTTTCAGTAACATATGACTTAATAGCATATTCTCCATCAATCAGTCTTCTACTCCTGGAAAATGTAGTTGACTTACACTTCTCAGGATTTAAATTTAGATCATTATCCTCACACCATTTAACAAACTTGTCTAACACACTCTGCAACTTAATTTTGTCATCTAATGATTTTACAACATCGAATATTTTTAAATCATCAGCAAACATAAGAAACTCCACACCATCAAATAAATGACAAATGTCATTAATGAGTATAATAAAAAGAATGGGACCCAATTACTTTTCACATTTTCATTTCTGCATAGATTCACCATAAATAAGTACACAATGAAAATATAAATAATAAGTAGATTGCTTTTGTTTCAGGAAAGGAATCAGAGATAGCTAAATATATGTCAAAAGCATTCAGTGAAAAATCATCTGTTGATTCAACGTTGGAACGGCTGAAGGATTCAATGCAAGAAATTTTGAATAGACAAGGGGATGTACAAACAACAGTAAACAAAGTGAGCATTCAATCTGAATAAATTCAGAAGAATTTTCAATGCCAAAGATTTTATAAAGTTGATATACTGCAATTTTCATTTTGTGATGTTGCATGTTCACTTGAGATTGCACTTTATGCTACAGAGACATTATACCTTTTTTATTTCAATTTCATTTTAACTTGGGTATTCCCATTTCTGTAATATATAAAAATTTTAAAAGTAATTTTAATATCAGTTCAGTAACAATCACAAATGATTTATATAATTCAATGTTGTGTCAAAATTTACTTAATTTTTGGGTCTCACCTGTAGGTGTCACTGGAAATTGCAATGCAAGAAATGCCAGCTTGGCATTTGATGCAAAGTGATTGAATGTAATATTTATTTATTTACTTATTTATTTATGGCTTTTAGCAATAGCAGTGCCAAAATTTGCAGTGTTTGTATTGGCATAGTGTATTTATTTTTACTGATAATAAATTCCTTCACTTTGCATGTTAAATAGTTAAGTCTACTTAATTTAATTTGTTAAACAGAACAATTAAAGTAACTATTTGAGGTATACAGTACAATGAATTTTGTGTAAATTACCTATGAATTTGGCTAGCTTGATTTTTATTATAATGGGCATTACAATACTTACAGTCTCAGGGCTGATACTACTCCATCGTGGGCTTAAACTTAACTGCTCTTATGAAGCTACAGCTGGTGATATTTATTGATGATGGGAATTGAATGATCCTATGGTTTTTATCCTACTGAGTAATTTTTAAGTAACAACATCATTAATATTACTGCAGTAAGGAGTGCCAGCTGTAATTTTGTTTTATTACTGTATTTTTTTCCTTTCTGTAAAATCAGCTTATAGATGAGTACTGATAGATGAGTGATTTGAAGCTGGCAGAGTTCTGTGGAATCGGCTATGAGATTTCATATCCTTATTACATTGACATGTTAGATTGCATGAATCTGCGTTGTAATGAAAGTTGGCCAGTTTTACTTTAATATGTAGCAAATTCTGAAATCTATGTATACAAGGCAACACATAATTTTCAGTTCAATAAATAGGTTTTTTTAGTGACTTGTTGCAACACTTTGCCAATAAGACTGACTACCTCTTTTTATGGTACAAAAAGATAACTCAATGCAGGTAATTTCCCCATAAAATTGTTCTGTATGTCAAATGAGAGTGAATGTATCCATAGTTAACAGAGAGTAGAATCTCTTTAGATACTGTGTTGATGTATCTGTTTCATGAACACTTCATAGACAACATTGGTAGTATTCAATTTACGGTATGTGATTGCAAACGTAGGCTACTTTGAATTAAAATTCCAAGGAGTTGATTATTCAAGCTGAGGTAGGAGATGGTCAGCTGCTTGTGTTGTGATGATGTGTGAGATTTAGGGACAAGTTGTTTGCATAGCACCATCCTTTAGCAAGTCTGGATAAAATAAAGGTGGTGTCACAAAAAAATTACCTAAGGAACAATTATTCAACTTTTTACCAAATCTTTTTCAGTGTAGTTAGATAAATCATTAATGTAGTATATCTGATCAATTGAAGGAGTCCCAATATTGTACATTCATCAAGTTTATGCTTATTTTTACCATTTATATTTGAATGTTTATAGCATCGTGATTGGAGAAACCTGTGTTAATTTACATCAATGTGAAAACTAGAAGGATGCACTGTTGTTTCTACAGGGTCAATGCACATTCGGATGTTATGATTTGAAATTTACTGATGTGTTCTTTCATAACTGAAAAGTACTGAAACATCCCAATCTGTTTTCTATTTGTTTTAGGAAAATACAGGTAATGGAGAAATGACTCAAATGGATGTTGGTGATTTCCATGCATCTGTTGAATTTGACCACAGCAATGGCATGGAAATGATTCGGATTTCACGACGTGATGGATCAGGATCTGGAAGTGAAGGTTCAACTGCCCCTAATGGCCTTCAGCCTCCTCAGTCCTCGACAAATACATCACCCAAACAGGAGCTATTGAAACTTCCCAAAGATCTTTTATCTCCAGGAATGCTAAGACTGTATTTAGAAACTCTTCAAAAAGTCCGTTTGTTGTCTGGTGAAGATCCAGCATTTCATATTCAAAAACTAAGTGAACTGGCCCAGATAAATCCTTCTGCATCTTTAGGTGGACCTTCATTAGAAAATGGCAACGAACATAAAAAAGACGATGTACTTATAAAAGTGGATACAGAGCGCAGTGTAGACTCAATTGTGCCAAGTGACAAAGCGAAGAAAGAAGAATATACTAGTGATAAAAATGAAAGGACCAGTATGTCCTCGAGTAGGACAAGGGGGGAAAATGTAGTAAAAAATAAAGTTGAAAATGGTGAAGAAAATAGAAGTAAATCAGAAAATGAAATAAAATCTCATGAAGAACTGTAAGTATGCTAATTAGAATAGTGAGTTTCAACTATGACAAAAGTGTGTTTGTAAGAGAAGTCATTATATTGAAATTTTTAAAGAATTTTGAATGTTATGACTGCTTTCTTTGACCCATGAAATTTACTGTACCCTTTCCCATCAAAACAGATCTTGTTTGGGTTCGGTTATTTTATGGGTTCTAGGTTATGTATGTGTGTGAATATTATAGTTGGATAGTGGAATGTAAATAATATACATATGTTACAAAACTTATTGTTAATCAGACATGCTGGCATGTGTTTTGTTGAATAATTGAAGTGTCTGTGATTTTTTCATTATGTACTAATTTTATGGTCTGACAAAACTTAATATCCAATATTAATGATACACAGTCTCTTAATGACCATGTGTTTTCACAGTAATCATGGCCGTAATGACAGGAACACCAGTATTATGTAATAAAACGGAATATTTGTTATACATAATATTTCTGTTTGTTTTTTATTAATGTAACCTTGTACTTCTGAGTGTTTAAAACCAAAAATTATCATCATAACATTTTTCTAGAAACACAAGTGGTCTGTATCTGTAACTACTGCTCAGCTTTTGAACGAGCTTTTAGCTTTTTCAGAGATTACCTTCAAGCGTGAAACTTATGATGAAACAAATACAGAAAGGCCAAGCAATCAATGGTAAAATAAAACTGTTGTATTATGTGGAAGTTTTAGTGCTTAGTAAATTTCCAACCAATTTATTACTTTCCCAGAAGTTTATATAAGCATTTAAAAATAAGATTTCAATTTTTGTTGCCAGTAAATGTGAAAACTATGGCTTCTGGTAACAAAGGGACTCTACCAGTCATTAGAAGTCTTCAAGATACTACAAGTAATACTTTTAAGTAACGAAAGATTTCTAGATATACAATTTTTTTAAAAATCCCATTTGATTGTATTTGAAAAGAAAACAGATCGTTCATTAGATAGTGCAATGTTTCCAACTGCTTGTATTTAATTTTGAAAAGGAGGAAGCATGCTATTTGGTGGAAATTAAATGTATCATTTGTAGAACAGGAAGAAAACATAAAACTTATTGATGAAAATGTGATTGATTATTGAGAAATTAAGGGTTTGCATACTACTGAAAGCTGTATTTGGCTAGTTGCAGTTGGTTTGCACACTTTTAGCAGTGATAATGAGCAGCAATTCTTCATGACATTAATAAAAGGTAATTGACACACTGATTTTGTGAATTACATGGAACTCACACAATTTTGTTTTGTATTTCTTACTGCATGTGTATTCCATCAAGTGTTAATGACTATAATTATCCAAACAGTCATTTTAAGCGGTAGGCAAACAGGTTCTTTTAATTTACTGAATTAAATCTATATTCAAATAACAAGAGGTGAATTTTCCGCAAAAAACAAACTCATTGGCTGCTCCAAAGTGTTGAGTGGTCATAGTATGTTTATTAATGTGCTTGAAGAAACTAAATATAGTGTACAGAGTATCCGTATGCTTGGTGTTTACATATTGATAACAGTATGAAGATTAAGTTAATTCCTCCCATTCCATAGCTATGGAAAGGTCACATTCCAAAAGTATATGTGGATTTCATTGAAAAGAACACATTCGGTATGAAAATGATAGGTTCAATGTTTAAGCAGATAAAGTAATTATTATAAAGATGCTTATAATTTATTTAGTTTTCAGGTGCCATGATAAAGTTCTTTCTTTGAAAGTGAAAGAAGTTTGAACTTTGAAGTGAATACTATAATCAATCAAAGCAATGTTGCTTGCCGAGTTATTTCTGTTCCTGTTGGAAGAGAGATCGATGTGGAGTTTCATGAGCGAAAAACGTGCGAAATTTCTATAAAATATATTTGAAACTAAGATGGTGATAATTATGAATAAAAAATGTAATGAAAACTGTTTCAAAGCTTTTCTTTACATGCATGGACTTGTGTTTTTAGGTAGATTATCATACTTTTTAACATTATCAAAACAATTTAGGTAACAATCATGCCAAGTTTCAAAACCCGTTTTTTTTCTCTCCTTTGATCAAATTTTTTGGTCCTAATTTGAACGGGTTATACGAGATAAGAAAGTATTGTAATCGTGCTCCGGCAAACAGCTGATTTTCAAGAAAACTCATTTGTCGGGTCCTAGTAACGAAAAATTTGATAATTTCTGTTCCTATATGTAATAAATTACTTTCTCTAACACAGGTGTCGCCAGAATCCATGTTTTGCAAATCTTAAATACCGAAAAATCGATTGACGGCAAAACGTCTAGCTGTCCGGCTGTGGTCCACGCTAGCGTCTAAACCGTTCTGTAATGAGCCAGTATAAACAATAAAAATAATATAATTATTATAAGCAAGTACTTCGCCATCAACGTCCGACCCAGCAGAAAAGTTTCCGAAAACATTTTGAAACCGGCTTGGAAAATCCATCTCTAAAATGACGCTCCCAGAAAGATTCCCGCAGTTAACGAGATCATGTACAAAAGGACACCAGAAAACAGTGGCGGTCAATCTGACGCTCGGTTTTCAGATCGACACCGCCAGCAACCTTGTACGGAGAAACAGCCGCCGCAGCAGCGATCTTTGGCCAACAACGAGATATCAGCCGAAGAATTGGAAGTCATGGTAAGAAGCTGACGCCAACATGAACGCACTAGACATTCTTGCAATTACTTCCATTACGTTCCCTTTCTCTTCACTATGTCTTTCGTAGTTATTCGGTGGCAGTGAACCATTAAGTGATTAAACTCATACTTTTACTTACAACTACTTTATGATTGCTTTTACTTCGTCTTAACCCCTTCTTCCTTCCGGCCTCGCAAATCATTCCATCCGCGACACTCTCCTTTGTGAATTACGCTTATTGACAACATTCGCATAGGAGGGAACGTTACAGTTAGCCGATTTTACCAAAAATTGACATTCCTCGATCAGTGTGAACGAACTCGAGGCTTTGGAAGTATAAGGATAAAATGATATTTTAATTTTTGACGATAGTTAAGCTTCGTTTTCAAAAACGACTCCAAGTTTTTTGATTCAACTTTGTTCTGGAATACCGTACAAGACGCCTAAGAGAATGGTACTGGCCCCCAAAAAATTGCAAACGCGCAAATTTTTTGGACAGTGTTCCTACAACTTCATTGCTGAAGATTGAATTTTGAATGAAAATTAAATCTGTTCTCTGAAGATAGTTCTTGAAATAAGGTCATATGCATTTTTTAGAAAATATGAAAAGTTTTTGCGTAATTTTGCATACTTCCGTTAAATTTTGCTTAACTTAGTGTTGAAAGTTCCTCCACTCCGTGAAAACTATGAACATTCTGAATTTTTCGTCGAACGATAATGAAAGTTTGATGAAAGTAATATTTCTCTCAATGGTAATATATAAAAATTAATTTTTTTTAAATAAATAATTAAAAAGCCGACAATTTATAAAAATATACTGAAGGAGTCGCTTCTCGAATAGCACAGGGGGCCCAAAATGCGTGAAACATTCATTAAAGTGGCACCTTAGTATCATTGCTAAGGTCGTGATAGATTTAGATTTATTTAGTCAAAAAAAGTAAAAACTATGTGACGTATGGGGGAGAAGATTTTCTGTGCACGTTTTCTTGAGTTCGAGAATCCCTTCCCGTCCCATTTCACCTACAAATAGTTGAAAGATGAGTACAAGTTTAAAATAAATAAAAATAAATTTTAAAAATCGCAAGATTAGCAATATTTGAAAAAATAGACATTTTCGTTTCTTAATATACTTCGAACGATTTTCGAATTGAAAACAGAGACTTGACGCCTGATACTACAGTGCTTCTTTAAATCAAATTTGTGAATGAGAAGCATATCCAGAGACTAAACAAATCGAAAGAAAGCAAATATAATTGTAAATAACAAATGTGAAAAGAAAAACAAACCTCGGCAACCGCTTAATACAGCTCAAAACTTAAATTATCAAGGAAATCCTTACGCGCGCAACAGGGCTTGCCACTCAACATTCCCGCCAACACGCATTTCATTCTGGTCAGGCAGGGGAACACTGTCTGACATCTGTTGCAATATTGTAATACTCTTTGGCGCGATCTTTGTAATTCACTCCATTGTACTTGCTGGGAAGGTATGATTCTGTAGTGTAATTTGTTGTTATCCTAAAGAAGAACTAGACCGAATTGTTATTCTACATGTTGCCTTCTGATTTAGATTTCTCACTCATTCTACTGTATACCAGGCAGTTCAGTGACAAAGTATTGCGTTTCAAGATTTCGGAGTGTTGAAATTCTCGTATTTATGTAAAGATGGTTATGAAGATAAATTGCAGACGTTCAGAACTTAATTTATTATGTACGCTTTCTGGAGGACAAAGTTTCAGGTACAGTTATTCTGCTTCTTTTGTGTAATAGCCAATTTGCATTTGAAGGTTATCCTTTAGGGCCATTCCGCCAAACCGAATCCACTTGAGGCTGCGCCTGGCCTGGGCTGCGCTGCTGCTTGTGCGTCACAATGAACCGTTTTCTTGCGAACATAGTATGACATAAAATAGTAGGTAAGGTTCTATATTGTAGTAATGAAAGCAGACTATCACTGTCAACTAATGCGAATAAAGACAAAAGGGAAAAATGATGAAAATAAACTTTGAGAAGATGATGAATATATATATTTAAGAAGTACTCTTTTTGAAAAAAATGTAGCTATATTCTGCTAAATCATAGTAACATTATGATCAGATCAAGATTCAATTATGTGTCAAAGAAATTGTTAACCCTCCATAAGTGTGGTGAGGTTTCACAAACTCCATTGTTTATTTTTTGGTGAATAATTATATGAATGGGCATCACTGCTCAATTCTTTTATGTACTTTTTTTATGCATTGAGTAACCTCATTACTGAAAAGTTATAAGCACATTAATCAAAACAGTACAATTTGCCATGTCCTAGTTGTACATAGTAGGAGGATGTTCCCTTTAGGATGCTCAATGACCATCCAGAAGTACATATTTTTTTCTTTATTTTCAATTAACTGAACAGTATTTTGCTATGTTAGTGTAGCAATGTTAAGCATTGTAGAGTTGGTGGTTTAATATTTTAATTAAATTATATTTGAGAAGTCTGGAGTGGATTCTTGTTAGTTGAGGATCAGGTTTTTTCCAGTTGAAAAATGGAGTAGATAGGAAAATAAGGTAATTTTTTAGTAGGACCTTTCTAAAATTCTGCGAATATGTTGGGAAATTGAGGTCTATCAATGTGCTTTTTTGGAGACATTCCAGGGTTCATTTATTTCTGTTTTCAAGACTATTTTGAAAAATTAGAAGATGCTTAATGGATGAATATGCTGTGCCACCCCAGACCAGCCAAGCATGTTCGAGAGGGACGAAGCAGGGCTATGTAAAGGCATGTAGATTCTTCTTAATGCAAGGAAGATAGTTTACATACAATGGTGAACCCTACATTTAAAGAGGAGAGAATGTTTGTGCCATGGAGGTGTCTAGTATTCTTAAGATGTTAAGTCTTGTTTTATGATGTCTGGGAGATGGAATTATTGTATATGTTTAATGGGGCGATGCATTTCTGGGCAGATGTTTTGGCTTTGCCCATCAAAAATGGTGCATTTCTGTTACACTCTTGAGACGGCTTCAGTAAATACAGAATCAATGTAAATACACCCAACAATCGAGACACAAATGTTAATACTCTGCATCACAAACTCAACCATACGGATGTCATTATATGTGGTAATATTTCTAGATTATATTATATTATGTTCTGTTGATATTTTAAAATGCACGGAACAATTAATAAATTTATATTGCAGTTGTAGTGAATAGGTCTACTTTCATTAACTTTAATTTGAGCTCTAAAGTTAGATTTTTTTAATGACATGTAAAAGAAAATAAAAGTTCATCGGATTTTTTGTGTGTTTATTATTCTTGCATGTCATATTTTACGAAATATAATGATATTGAAGCATTTCTTCATTTTTAACATCATTTCAATAATAAATAAATAAATATTGGGGTGTTACGAACTACAACAGACTAATAATAATTTCATGACGACAAACATGGTTAAAGTACCATTTATATAATTATTTCATATACCTATGTATTAAAACTATTAACATGACTAATAAAAATGAAAATAATGATGTCAATTCAATTCATAATATCACTAATTCTGTTGAAGATACAGTGATTTGTAAAGACAGTTCTCCTGTGAAAACACAGTGCATAGTACTGTGAACATTGTGAGAAAAGAAATGTAAAGATGGGTGTAGCAGTTCACTCGGTCATAGATGTTTATTTAACCCTGTGTGAGGACACACTTTAGCATACTAGGAATATCATTAATGACTGAACATTTATTTATGAAACACTTGAATGAAAATTTATAAAAATCATATTGAAAATCAAACACTCAAGGGAGCTATATGGTTTGGTGAGTTAATAAAGCTCTGGCTTACCAATTTGAAGACCAGGGGCTGATACTCAGCAAAAATATTAATTTCTTTAAATTGGTTCTTCGAGTAAAACAAAGTGCCGCTATAAATATAGTATGTGGCCATTTTTTAAAATTAAAATGGTGAAATTTTGAAATTTTAAACTTTGAATGAAACTTTGAAAGAATTATATATATATATATATA